TCAACTTTTAATTTTTTTTAATCTTGTATTCAATTTACACTTTATTAATATATTTTTAATGAATTTATATGTATTCAAAGTTTGTTTCTTGAAATAATGTTCAACTTCAGCAGAAACGGTAACACAAAAAAGTGTCACTTTTCTTTTTTTCTTAATTTTTTATTCTTTCTTCCGCCTTTCTTTCATCGCTTCTTTCTTTAGAATGAGATATCAGAGAGCAGAGTTTCATTCGAGATCTTTACATTCACTTATGAGCAAATACACCTGGGAAATGTGTGAGTCCATCGTTTGCTCCAATCCATGGGTTAAATAGTAGAACTTGTATCCGGAAAAATTGTTTTTATCTCCAAAAACTGTTAATGCAATATTTACTCAAAAAAAAAAATTAAAACAAGAATTATTTCTACAATCCAAAATCAGTTCCGGCTATAAATAAAAGTTGATAAATAATAAAAAGCACTCAAACACACAGAGCAAACAGATCATCGTATCTTTCAATTAATAGTTTGTTTCGTTCTTTCTGCCTTTTCGCCTGTTTTCACGCTTATTTGAAGCTGCTTGCCTATTTTTATTTTAAGTGGTGAAAAACTCTCATCACCATGACTATTCCAAATAGCGTTTGCTTTTTCTTTTACGTTTTACAATTTCTCTTCCGACATTCTTTTATCGTTGTTTTTTAGTGAACTCATTCTTCCTTTCTTTGTTTCTTTCTTCCTTCCTTCATTTCATCCTTTCTGTCTTTCTTCCTTTCTTCCTGTCGTCTCTTCTTTCTTCCGTCCTTTCTTCCGTTTCATTCTTCAATCCGTTCTTTCTTTCTTTTGTACCTTCTTTCTTCCTTTATTTTTTTCGTTCTTTCTTTCTTTCTTTCGTATCTTCTTTCTTTCTTTCCTTCGTCCTTTCTTTCTACCTTTTTTCTCCTCTTCCCTTTCTTCCTTTCTTTCTTTCGTCTTTTCTTTTTTTGCATTCTTCATTCGTTTCTTTCGTGCTTTCTTCCGTCTTTTCGTTCTTCCTTCCTTTCTTTCTTTCGTCTTTTCTTTCTTCCTTTCAACATTTTAAGTTTATTTGAACAGACACCTAATATTATATGTTAAAAAAAATTCTTACCGGCATAACTAGACGATATTTATTTAGTACAAGAAATGTCTATCAACCTTAGACTTGAACAGATTATTGTGATCGGAAAAGCCACCTCTTGGGATTCGATTCTACAAGATAACAGATTGTGGGAAGAAGCTGCTCGATTGGAACTTACACCTCACCAATGGAATACAAAGAGAATGAGGGTGGTTCGTTACACGGGAGTGGCATGACGGATTCTAGCCACGAAGGTTGGAACTGTTGGCACTAAAGAATGTTGTTAGTCTGAACACTTTCCATGGAAATAGCGATAGAGTGGCGAGAGGCTCACATTTCGTCTGTGCGAAATTGGATGCTGGGCTTAAAATAACTCATCACCCACTAGGTCGCGTAGATGCTTTTTGAATCAAGACGGAAAAGTGAGAACTGGGAAACTCCTGCCCACTTATGGCACAAGTACTCTATTTTCATGCCGATCTGACTTTTGTAAAGAGAAAGGATAGTGAGAGGAGTTAGGTACTTACTGGAGCGGTACAGGGAACAGAGAATTTTTCTAGCATCTTCAACAATATGTACGCGTTCCACGAGGTCCTGGCTGAACGAGAGGCGCTCAAGGCACGGTGTCTCCCTGAGAGAACACTCGTTCATCGTGGTAGAAAAAAGAAAGAAAGAAAGAAAGAAAGAAAGAAAGAAAGAAAGAAATTCAGGATCGGCTCGGTGATTATGGAAAGTCACTAGTTTATTTTTTTTTTTTGAAGCAATGCCTGCGACAACCCGATTTTTCACCCCCTGAGCTGTTAGAGCTAGGTCAGAGGAGAGATCAGCTACTCGAGTGGAACTTCCATCTCACCAATGCATTATGAAGGGAATGAGGGTGGTACGCTACAATGGGCGTGGGCATGGCGGGTCCTTGCCGTGAAGGTTAGAACTGGTGGAATTAAGGAATGTAATTCATCTCAATGGAAATAGCGATAAAGCAGCGAGAGACTTACAACATTTCGTCTCTGAAAAAGGGAGGAAAATAATTTATGATCCATAAGCCCACGGAGGCACTTTCAAACTCTATCGAGACTGGGAAGTTTGGTTCTTGTAAATGTATAGGATAGCGGAAGGAGTCAGGTACATACTGGAGCGATCATCTTTTCAGCATCTTCAGCGATGGATCGTTTGTAAGAGTTCCACTTGAGGTCAGGTCTGAGTTGACGTTTCAACAGGCGCTCAAGACACAGGGCATCTGTAAAAGAACACCCGTTCATCGCGATAGGCGGAAATTCAGGGTCCGATCGGTAGTGATGATACGTCACTCGTTTGTTTTTCCAGGCATTTTTCCCACTGAGCTGTTAGAACAAGATCAGAGAAGAGATCAGCTACTAGGCTCTGGTTATGTAGCATTTGGGAGTTGCACTCATATACCGTTATACCATCAGTATATGTATCCATAAAAGATCGAAATATACTATTAGGCAGATGCTTAATGCAAAATAGAAAGCGAGTTGGACCGAGATGCAAACTTTCTGGGATGCCTGAGTTGATCACTTGGGCCAAGGAGGACTGGCTGTTAACATCTACCTTCAGGAACCTACCTATTAGGAAAGCCTTGATAATTAAGAAGACTCTTTCAGTGATACCATAGCTGGAAAGCTTATGAAGCAACACTTTATACCACCAAAGACTTTCGAAATAACTACTGTCTTTCTTGTCCAGTGCCTCATTGAATGTTTGAATAATGACAGGCTATCAGCAGCGGACCGAGTTAATAAAAATCCGTACGACTTATCGCTCAAGAAGTTGTCTCTATTAATGTTGCCAACAACCTTCTTATTTATTATAACCTCAAAAATTTGCTGATAACATAGAGGGGGGATGCTGGGTCAATACAGAGACAGGAATGAACGCACTCCCGCATTCGTGAAAACAAGGCATACGTTTGAAACCATCCACAGACGTAGAGCTGATTTCTCCTTGAAGTAGCATATAAGTAGTTTTGCTAAGATCGTGGATAACTCGGGGTCAATATTCTATATATATATATATATATATATATATATATATATTATGAAATGGACAAAGTCCGACAATTATTTTAAGACATTTTTATGTTTATGCATTCTTTTTATAGATACAAATATTTAAGTAAATGCTGTTTATAATAAACAGTATTAACAACATTTACCGTACTGAATGACCGAGAAATTGTCATAGGAAATATGCGTCCTCCGACAGTAATCGAACCTGTATCCTATACGTAACCGTCAGATAGCCTGACGTGCTTTTACCGATTTCGCCACAGGAGAGCGTTCGGTTAGCAAGGTCGATTTTACTGTTTTTAAACTAAAATCTTCCATGATTCTCTCACGTACATTCATATCTGCTCATGAGAATCATGGAAGATTGAAGTTTAAAAACAGTAAAATCGATCTTGCTAACCGAAACGATCCTCTGCGGGGAAATCGGTAAAAGCACGTCAGGCTATATGACGGTTTCGTATAGGATACAGGTTCGATTCCTGTCGGAGGACGCATATTTTCTATGACAATTTCTCGGACATTCAGGCCGGTAAATGTTGTTAATACTGTTTATTATAAACAGAGCACTTAAATATTTGTGAATTTGAGAATGTATAAGCATAAAAATGTCTTAATATATATATATATATATATAATAAAAAGGCATCCCTTGGTGTGCCGTTCCATAGAACGATCTTTTGTTACACAAGAGCTGACTAGTACACCTTAAGATGTTAAGCTGAAGGCTTCATCTGTGAGCGGGTACTTTCTGGAATGGAGAATTTTATACAGCAGAAAAATTGCAACAAAATCCGAACAGCCAGACTTTATACATCTCTGAATGTTCTGCAAACAGAACAGGACCAATAACGTTGCAAATTCTTCATTGTGAATCCTCTTGAACCAAACGTCTTTCTATTGATTTTATCGTGTTTTCCCGTTTGCAATTTTCCTTAGAGGGTTTCTTAAGCTGTAAATGTTTATTTCTCTCGATGTCCATCTTTCGTTATCATGTAATTTTATTTTGTTTTTTGTTTTCTAGCTTGCTCAATCGATCTACTTATCTATTTTTTTCTTTCTGTGTCTTTTTAACAAAACAGTTTACTTTCAGTTACATTAGGATGTTCTGTTTTCCCAATTTTTCTCCGTTCATCTCGTTGTAAATTTTAGTTTGGTTAATCATGAACGTTATCTTTAGTGCATATTACAATATTTTATAATGGCGTTTCTTAAGCCTTCTTTCCTTAACCAAGATTTTATTTCCTTCGATTACAACTGCGTGTTAATTTCCTGTTGTTTTCTATCTTGTCAATTCACCAAGCTGACCTCTGGCCTCATTTCATAAAGTTTCACTAAACTATGTCCATTTAATCAATTCCGTCACTTATTAGTGTTTTGTTTACCTTTTGCAGACCTTGAACTTTTCAGTGACTAATTTTACGACTGAGTAGTCAGTTCGATCCTCACTGGGTGCTCCATACTCTCTGGCCCTGTGCTACATCTAATTTACGCCTAGTATATTGTTAAGGACTTTTGAGCACTTAACCAAAGGTTCCTACCAAATAAGGAAGTTCCGGAATTAAAATAATAAACGGAAACATTCAACGTATTTACTGTTGTTCATGATGACGGTCGTCTTCGAGTATAGAATCCAGAGGTTAACAGTGAATATTTTGAAGGCAGTAGGAAAGCGTTGTTCAGGTTAGCAGTGGATATTTTGGTAAAAGTAGCAGAGCGTAGTTCGTCCTTCTGTTTCTCTTCGCCTGACAAGCTGGAACTAGACATTCGGGTAGGGTAAACAAAATGGCCGCCTTTATACACGACGGATTGAATATTCTACGTCTTCTGATTGGCTAACCTTCTATTGGTGGACTATAAAGTGAGTCAAGTCATTTGGGCTAGCACACTAGTTACATAATGTATCCAAAAATTGTAACATTTACAACCTTTATTTCTCATACGTCGCCACCCACCTCTTTTACTCCCATCCCTTATTTGCCTTCCTCTTTTTCACCCTCACATAACACTTCTCTCACCCCCTTTCACTATCTCTCGCTTTCATTCCTATCCCATCCATTTACCGCTCTCGTTCACTCTCATCCCCTTTTTGCCTTTTTCTTTTTCACACTCCTCTCACATTTCTCTCGCCCACTTTCAGTCTCTCTCGCTTTTTCTCATCCCATTAATTCACTCTCCCTCTTTCATTCTCATACTCTCTTTGCTCTTTTCTCTTTCGCCTTCGCTTCATCCTTCTCTTATCTACCTTTAATCTCTCTCCCCCCCTCTCTCTCTCTCTTTCACTCTCACCCCGTACATTTCCCTCCTTCCTTCACTCTCATGCCGCTTTGACTTTTTCTCTTTCAACTTCATCTCACCCTTCTCTCACACGCCTTCACACACTCTCTTTCTTTCACTCTCGTCTCTTTGACTTTTTCTTTCACCCTCATCTCATCCTTCTCTCACCCACCTTCACTCTCTCTCTCTTTCTCACCCCATACATCTCACTCCCTCTTTCACTCTCGTCTTCTCTTTTTCTTTTTCACCCTCACCTGATCATTCTCTCATTCACCTTCTCTCTCTTTTTCACTCTCATCTTTTACATCCCCCTCCCTCTTTAACTCTCATCCCCACTTTGTCTTGTTCTTTTTCACCCTCATCACATCTTTCTCCCGCCCACCTTCACTCTCTCTCTCATCCTTTTCTTACCTACCTTAATTCTCTCTCTCTTTCTTTCACTCTCATCCAATACATTTCCCCCCCCTCTTTCACTCTCATTCCCTCTTTGCCTTTTTCTCTTTCACCATTATCTCATCGTTCTCACAGCCACATTCACTCACTCATTCTCTCTCTCTCTTTCACTCTCATTCCTTACATCCCACTCACACTTTAACTCTTATCCCCTCTTTGCCTTTTTCTCTTCCACGCTTATCACATCCTTCTTTCATCCACAAACTCTCTCTCTCTCTCTCTGTCTCTCTCTCTCTCTCTCTCTTTCAATTATGCCTTACATCTGATTACTCCTTTTACTTTCATCCACTCTTTGCCTTTTTCTCTTTCGACCACACATCATCCTTCTCACATCTATCTTCACTCTCTCTCCGTCTTTCTTTTACTCTCATCCCATACATTTCCCTCCCTCTTTCACTATAATCCTCTCTTTGCTTGTTCTCTTTCACCATCATCTCATCCTTCTCTCGCCCACCTTTACACTCTCTCTCTCTTTCAACCTCACCGTAACCTTCTCTCCCCCACCTTTACACTCTCCATCTCTCTCCTCTCTCTTTCATTCCCATCCCTTACATCTGCCTCCCTCTTTCATTCTCATGCCCTCTTTGCCTTTTTCTCTTTCACCTTCATCTATTCCTTCTCTCGCCCACCTTCACACTCTCTCTCTCTCTCTCTCTTTCAACCTCACCTTAACCTTTCTCTCACCCACCTTTACACTCTCCATCTCTCCCCTCTCTCTTTCATTCACATCCCTTACATCTCTGCTCTCTTTCATTCTCATGCCCTCTTTGCCTTTTTCTCTTTCACCCTCATCTCATCCTTCTCTCACCCAACTTCACTCTCTCTCTCTCTCTCTCTCTCTCTCTCTCTCTCTCTCTCATCCCATACATCTCGCTCCTTCTTTCACTCTCGTCTTCTCTTTTTCTTTTTCACCCTCACCTGATCATTCTCCCATCCACCTTCTTTCTCTTTTTCACTCTCATCTTATTACATCCCCCTCCCTCTTTAACTCTCATCCCCATTTTGTCTTGTTCTTTTTCACTCCCATCACATCTTTCTCTCGCCCACCTTCTCTCTCTCTCTCTCTCTCTCTCTCTCTCTCTCTCTCATCACATTCTTCTCTTTCATGCTCTCACCTGTATCACATCCTTTTCTCTCTTTTTATTTCTCCCTCGTTCACTCTTATCCCATCATTTTCTCTTCATCTTTTCACTTTAACCAATGTTCTCCCTCCCTTCTCTCTCTCGCATCCCATCTATTTCTCTCCCTCTTTCACTCTTTTTCATTCTCTTTGCTACTCTGACCTTTATCGCACCCTTCTATCACTATCTCTTTCCCTCTCTCACTGTCTCTCACCCTTCTCTCACTTTAACTCTCTTACCATCCTTCTCCCTCGCTTTTTCCTTCTCATCCTTCTCCCTTCTACATTCACATATCGCATCCTTTACACTCTCTTTCTCCCTACCCATTTCATCGCATCCCTTTCTCTCTCTCTCTCTTTCTCTCCCTCTCGCATTCATTTTCAACACATCTTTCTCTCCCTCTTTCAGTCAAATCTTGCCTTTATCTCTTTCATGCTCATCTCATTTTTCTCTCTCCTTCTTTTACTTTTACGCCATTCTATCCTCTCTCTTTCTCTCTCCCATTTTACTCTCATCTCCTCATTCTCTCTATATCTTTCTCTTTCCCCTCATCCCATCCATCTCTTCCTATTTATCTTTCCTATTCTTCTTCCCATCCTGGGCATGACGATAAACTACATCCGCGTCCTGGGTAAGACGATAAACTACATCCAACAGCAAGGCCTCTGATCAGGAGGTTTTGAGAAGCGAGGAACCACCTCTTAATTTCTGGTGTTTTCAGGTCCATTCTAACCCGGAGTGGTAGCACTTGTTAGGGTCCCAGCTATGGGTAAATAGTTAACCACCAAACTGAGGTCAAAATATTATGAAAGTGTAAAAATAAGTTTTAATACCAGAAATATTTTGTAAATTTTTGAAGAAAAAAATTATTACCGGCAATACTAAAAAAAAAATTTTACCAACTATACATTTTTGAAAAAACAAATAAAAATATTACCAACTATACATTTTTTTAAAAAAATATTGCCAGAAATAGATTTTTGAAGGAAAAAAATATTACCAGAAATATATCTTTGAAAGAAAAAAATATTACCAGAAATAGATTTTTGAAGGAAAAAAATTTTACTAGAAATAGATTTCTGAAGGAAAAAAATATTACCAGAAATAGATTTCTGAAGGAAAAAAATATTACCAGAAATAGATTTCTGAAGGAAAAAATATTACCAGAAATATATCTTTGAAGGAAAAAAATATTACCAGAAATATATCTTTAAAGGAAAAAATTATTATCAGAAATATATCTTTGAAGGAAAAAAATATTACCAGAAATATATCTTTGAAGGAAAAAATATTATCAGAAATATATCTTTGAAAGAAAAAATATTATCAGAAATATATCTTTGAAGGAAAAAAATATTACCAGAAATACGTTCTTGGAAAAAAAATATCAGCAATAAAAATTTTGTCGGCATTGAATAAGCCATTGAGGTTGATATACCGTAAAACAAAATAAACCAAATTCTTCTTCTTCTTTTCTTTTCGCAATCAGACTCTCTCTCTCTATCACACACACACAATCTTTATCGGAGTTTCTCTCTCTCTCTCTCTCTCTCTCTCTCTCTCACACACACACACACACACACACACACTTACTTTTTTCGGGGTTCCTTAATGAAGCTCGTTTGGTTGAGAGTCCTAAGGTGTGTGTTCGATTCTCATTGGATACCACATACAAAATCACCTAACAAGGTTTGACATTTCGTAAAAACTACCAACCTGACCGTCTCGATTACAACAGGTCTACTGATTTTAAAATACTTTGATTTTGTTCAACTTATGTACAATATACCTTTTCCTCGGCTTCTGTCCATCGATGGAATATTCTGGCATTGTCTTTGAGAAAACAATCAAGCGCCTGTCTAACACGAGATGGTCATCCCATGTTCTTGTTTTCCGTTTCGAGAAACATATGCAGCAGATTCTATATCAGCCGACGCTGACCAAGGCAAACGACAGAAGAATGTTTCTGACAATTCTTTGCAATCACTTTCTCGATAGAATGAACAAAACCAAAAAAGATGTCGACATCTAGTGAGTATGGATTGAAGAACAGAGTAGGTGTTCGGCTCCGGGTGACAGCGATTTGAAAAACGGGAATTAAAACAATTTGCACGTTTTACTGTTTACTATAAACGTTATATTTTTTACAGTAAGGTTCACTCTGTCAAGGCCCAGAGTTAACTCGAGGTACAGGGTTACGTAAAGAGATAGTTTATATGGATAGAGGGAGACGATTAAGGTTAACTCTAGACTTGAAGTGATAGGGAAAACATCATCTTGGGAGTCTGTTCCGCACGGCAGTGGTTCACGAAAAGATGCTGTTTGAGTGGAAGTTACTTCTCGCTGATGAAATTGGGGGGGGTGCTACAATGTAAATCATATAGCGGGTCCTAGCCGTGAAAGTTAGACCAGGCGGTACCAAGGAATATATTTCGTCCGAGCCTTTTCCATGATAGTAACGATAGAGCAGTGAAAGACTCGCTACATCCCGCCTGAGAGAGAGAGAGGTTGGAGGTTGGCAAATAATTCTTCTCCAAGAAGGACACAGGGACACCTTTGTACCCTTTCAATGCTGGAAAGGGTGGATTGGGCAGCAATCTTGGACCTGATCTGGCTCTTATAAATGTCGAAGATTGCACGAGGAGTCAGGTAGTTACTGGAGCGGTACAGAGAGCCGATCATTTGACCTGCATCTTTAGCGATGAATCATCTATAAAAGTTCCACTTGAGGTCAGGTGTGAGTTTGAGGCCCAATATCGTCTCGAGACACGGGAGCCTCCTCATGGGAACATCCTTTCATCCTGACAGGCGGTAGTTCTGGGTCTGATCGGCGATGATGGAATGTTACTAGTTTGTTTTTTTAGGCGTGTGTGTGTGTGTGTGTGTGTGTGTGTGTGTGTGTGTGTGTGTGTGTGTGTGTGTGTGTGTGTAACAAGCTTGTGTGAGAGAGTACAAAAGTCAAGCGAGAAAACCATGAAAATGAACGTGCTCCATTGGAAACACCTTACCCACGTGCAACTGCATGTGAAATCCAGAGCTAAAAAGCTGTAAAAGAAACTAGGAAGCGAAATGCACACCTTTCTATAAGCTTATGGAGCACCCCGACGCCGACATTTTTTTTTTTTTTTTTTTTTTTTTTTTTTAAGTCAAGTGGTTTAATCCACAATATGAAGTTATCATTCTAAAGAAAAGTGAAAAATTCAAGGCCGAAACATTTCTCTCTCTTATGAATTCCCTGAACTCTGACCTGACAAAAAGTATATCCACTTAATCCTTCATCATCCAATTGAAAAAAATGATTCTGAGGGGTGGGGGATAAACAAAAGAGGTGAGCATCTGGCTAATCGGTATCACAAAAATGGGCTTTTAAAGGCTTCTCAACTATTACATGGTTATTGAGGAAAACCGCGACACCATCCCAAGTTGTACAGAAAAATAATGTTGGACAACTTGAAAGCTATTTCGTCAAGTCGAAATTGCACTCAGGTTGTTCAGGTGCTTGATGATGACCAATTGTAAGGAGAGGAAGTTCGTTTTCAAGATCGAAACTTAAACAGAATCAGCTTCAATACAATCGGTAACAGTGTCTGAATTGGGTTACACTCGCACGCATGAAAAAAACGACATCCTGAACACTATTAAATGCAAGCCAATTTGTTTGTGATTCTGTAACGCCAGTCTTTAAGATCTGATGAAACGTTTTCTTTAAGACCAAGAGGATTGAAGCTATTTTAACCATTCCTCTGAGAAAACGGTTGTATATAGCTGATAGTTCAGACATTTCTGAACGAGTTGGATGCTATCTATGACATCCGTATGAGAGTCTAGACCTGACGAGGCTATTTAAGAAATATGATATACGTTGAAATCAAAGTTCGAGACGTAGAAGCCTCTCTTTTCTCTATTCGTTCGTACTGCGTAGCTTCTTAAGATTGTTTTAACTCTTACAATTATAATGACAAATGGATATGTTATTTATAAAAATGATGGAGAAGATTAGTGTTTTCACTGCGTGGTAATCGGTAAGCCAACAAACGTTGCTTTAGAAATATTGTATACGTGGTGGAGGTGGAAAGTTTTGGACTTATTCAAAAAAATCTAACCAAATAAATAAAGATAATAATTTGGGAACGAGAAAATTTCTCTGAACGTGAATTCTCATCGTGATATTACCAAGAAAATTCTAAAATTAACATCTGACGAAAAAAATTGTGTTCTGACTAAAGAACTCGAATATTTAATGAAACAATATGAAGACGTGTTGACCGCTAATAAAGTCACATAAAACGTCACAATTTTGACTAGGAAATAAAGTCACAACTTGGTTTTGCGAGTGACATGTTTGGTATGCATGAACACATTATAGCAGATTTTTTAACCATGCTTGTTACTGTCAATAATTTCAATGGCAGGAGTTGTGGTGGAGATCCGAGATTTACACTATTCATGCTCTCTTTAGGACTACGGATACAAGGCTCCAGAGGTGGATATGCAATATAATTGGCCCTGTTCTGGCATCTCGTCTACAGTCACTCTCTCACAGACGCGCCGTCGCCTCTCTCTGTCTTTTTTACAAATACTTTCATGGCAATTGCTCCGAGGAGCTGCATTCGCTGGTTCTCAGACTTCATGAGTTCAAGCGCCCTACGAGGCTGGCATCCCGCTCTCAACCTTTCACTGTCCAAACTACTAAATGTAGCCGTCTCTTCTACTCCAATAGCTTCATGTCTCGCATCTCTCGCCTGTGGAACTTTCTTCCCTATTCCAGTTTCACTGAATCTCCAACTATTCAAATGTAATATCAATCGACATCTCCAGTTTTGATCTATCCACTATCCTTCTCTTCATCCTTTCTTCTATCACTCCTATCTGATCTTGCTCCAAATCTTCTGTAACCCCTTGCATCCTAGTGGCTTCCCGCTTTGCTTGGGATGAAACGCTTAAAAAAAAAAGTATAAAAAGAGTTATTTAAAGGAGGACGCAGAAACAATGCTAACATTATCCTGTTTCTTTTCTTCTTATGACTTTTTTTCCTATGACGTTTTTATCTGACTTTTTTTTTACGTGATTCTAGATATTTATTATGTAAAAATTACATAATTGTGGCACAAGGCCGAAAAAAGGGAGGGGTAAAGGCTGGTTCACACTAACTATCTTATACCTAGCTAATCCGATTCACGACCGATTCACTCATTACAACTTACCCATTCACCACAAGAACTCGTCCATCACCAATCAATCCTCCATGCACCATAATACCACATCCTCTCTAGGAGGACCTACAAAACGCGCCCCATGCCATAAAAATTTCACGATAGTAAAATATATATGTATAAAATCTGTGATGAAAAAAAATGAGAGGGGAGGGAGATGAACCCAGTAACAAACTGATATATTAACACAAATCAAATTAAACATAACTGATGTTACTAGGTCCCGTCCAACCCTCAAAAAGGAGAGGGCGCTGTATTCTGCCAATGGGACAAAATCAAGAAGCTCTCTCACTGCGGGTGTGGGAAAAGGATAAGAAATAATATGGACATGGAAAAATATAAAGCTGACCCAGTCGAGTTGAAAAAGGGCGGACCAAAACAAACGGGAGGGGGTTCGACTTGAATCATAACCAAAGAG